TTTTTCTCGCTAACAAGATATCGAAATGAGTATCTCAAATGCACTCATCGGATGCTGGGTTTTTTTTAGTATCACGGTAGAGAGGTGATGACGGCTGATCATTCACAAGGATGCATGGGAGAGAATGATCACCTACAAAACTGAAAGTTAGATTCGTCTGTTTCCTGTAAACTGACCCGCTGCAAATTATGATTTCAACGATTTTGCTCGACGGCGAATATAACTCATATTACACGCCATTAAGGGCTTGTTTTGATTATAGGTCGGTTATCATAAAGAGTAATGGAGCTTTCTTTTGCTTGAACCATTTCTGATATCAACGGCCATTTTGTCTACTACAACGAAGTCACTCGTATAGCTCTCTTGGTTAAGTTTACACAGGAAGAATGGTAGTAACCGTTTTGGAGCTGTGGTATGGTGCTTCCAATCGCCTAACTCTACTAAAGAGTGGTAGTTAAGCGAGCCAATTCTACTCAAACCATCAGATTCGTTGGCGCAGCAAATAGTGGAGGAAAGCGGTGGATAACCAGCAAAAGCCTGCTATGTTAATCTAGATACTGTAATTCCGAAAAGTACTCACATGTAATTCGCAAAGCCACACACGCGCACCCAGTTAGTAGTAGAGGTAGATAGCAGAGAAAACTAACCTGCATCGATGATGATTCATTGCTGCGTAGTCTCAACTTAGCGACAGTTAAAACTGAAAGAGGAAGTTTGAGAAAGAGGCGCTCCCTTTTTATGACGTCATTTACTCAGGCGAGTGTCCCTGGCACTAGGGGCGTCACGTTACGATTCTCGAGATTTTGCACATTCCCTCCGACTGATTTGCAATCCGCTCACTTCAGCGTCTTCTGTAATACGAGTGCTTCTTGAAACCATTTCCATCGCTCAGCGAAATTACTCGCCGCTTCCCTCTTCAAACTCCTATACAATTCAATTGGAGATTTTTTGGGGGGAGGGGAGGGGCAGCCAGCCATACATCATGCGTAAAATCTCTCGTCAGTTATTCATTCATGTCCTATGTCAAGTGAGAAGTACTTTCTGATACAAAACACTTAATGTGAATTAGAGAACTTCTGCTTCATTTGTTGTGAATACTGCAATTTCATAATAGTACTGCAATCCGTTAAGATTTTTTAATGAAAATACTTTTCAATACACATTCCGTAGATAAATAAAATCGTCTTGCATTATCTTCGTTATCAACCGTACAGCACATTTCTCTTCAGTATAAAAGACAAGGCTGTCTGAAGAAGAAAGACTGGCATCAAAAAGATTAAATAATCGCCTAATGTAAATTAGTTGGGATGGGTGCTTGAGTGGTGAAATTACCAGTAATGTTACCACTAACTGTCTTATTGTCAACGGTCACTGTTTCATATGAAGGCGGTAAAGGAACAAAAAACCGGACAAATACGGCGGCACCTAATATCAGCAATGAAATACCCAACGGAATAAGACGTTTTAGAATGAGAGACTTTTTCTCTGATGATGTTAGTCTTATATGATGATTTGCATCACACGCTGTTCCTGAGGCACTCTCTTCTTGGTTACATTCAAGTTCGCCATTGTACTCTGTCCGTTTGTTCTCGTCACTAGTCAAGAGTTCAAAATGATTGTTTGCGGCATGATATCGGCTTAAGAATGGAAGGGATGAGGTCTTGTAAATCCAGCTGAACAGCATCGCATCTGATGAAAAAAGGAAAATGGTTATTATTACCCGAGAATCTCAATGAGGTCAACCGTTAGCCGTAAAAGGGCCAAAAAAATCCAGCCGTTAGGCGTAAAAGTTGACAAATTTTAACCAATAGTGGTAAAAAATGATAACCGTAAAAAAATGTCTGGTGATAACAATGGCCAAAATTTTAACCGTTAGCCGTGAAAAATATCACGGCTAATAAAAAATTCCTGGGCGTTTCACGTTACGCGGAAATAGATGAGCTCCTGCAAAATATGGCCCCAGCTAAGTTGAATTGATTTGAATAATTATTACAGAGAAGTTACAAGCATCCTTGGACCCCCTTTTCACCTCCTAACCACACCCTTGATATAACACCACTACCTCTTTCTCTTCTGCTAACTTCTACATTTATCCAAGTCTCTGATACATTGTACAACGCTGCCTTGATTGCTGTTCGTTCTTTCGCCTGATTGAGGCAACCAAAAAAGAAGCAAAATTATACGAAGTAACGAAGTAAGAAAAGGACCCAAGGTGGGGGAATTAATTTGCTGCAAACTGACAACAACTGTAGTATTCACTTTAATAAAAACCGTAAATAATATTACGTAAATAGCTGAAAATTCAACAAAGCAACTCTAACGCCTCTTTTTGTCTTTTGTCCTTTTTTTTAATTAGCAAAAGTCTCTCTGACAAAAGTCCTCCTCACTTAATGTTCAGGGACCTGCTAGTTAACCCATTGAAAAAAATCGCCCCAGAAAAGGCTTTAAGAGTCTACCATTACAATGAGAGGTCATCTAGGGCGGATATTTCCTTCGCCGCTCTGTTTCAAGTCGAAAGTATATAAAATAACACCCCTACAGGATATACAAATACAGACCAAGACTACTACAAATATTGAATTATACTACAATAATATGTAATAATAAATATTAAATATGATAAATTACTGATTGATATACTAACCAGCTGTGCTTGCCTCTCCCAGTCTGTTTTCCACAGTAGAATCACATATAGAGACGCCTAAAATACAATCATAAGAGACTTTAATTTTGAAGAAAAGAGATCCAAACTATCCCAAAGACACCGATGGTAACTGGACGCAAAAACCGAACAGTAATTAAATGGCACTCAGCGGCTCACCTGAGATACGACCCCAATCCCCAAGCCTATCCAGAGACCTTCAAGCGAAATGACATCGGTAAGATCACATGACAAACTTAACACGCTCCCACAAAGCAAAGCGAGCACACATAAAAAACGATCATAAGACCTTACGCGAGCACACGCAAAAGAGCACACCGAGTGAAACAAACGAGGAACTTTAAATAGATGAGTAAATTTCGCCTCCAACTATGCAAAGTCATGTTCCACTTGTGACCTGTCAGCACTTTCAAAGGTGAAATAATAACATCCAAAGGCTATTTCATTACGGTTTTATTTTTCCTTCTTTTTTTCTCCTCGACCATACCGTCTAGCATTCTCTAAGACCATCCAATTCCTTATCAAATTTTTTTACACCAACCCTCTTAATCTGCTTTTTTTTATGTGTCACCGAACATGCAAGAAAGTGCTGATGGTATAAGCCAAGCTTTAATCGAGTAGGAACTACTACGACCCGCACGTATCATAAAATTTATCCTTTCACCGAAAACGGCTATCAAACATTGACATATTTGCTGAATTTAAACGCTGATGTAGCAATTTTCAATTCCTTTACCTGTAATTTCATGGAAGACTAAAAACATCAACGTTATCCCACAAGGAAGCCCAATACAGCAATAAGCAACAAAATTTATCAGTACTCCTATCGTCTGCCGGCCTGATCCTCGGACAATACCACTGCAAACACCCTTAAAAAAATATTAACCGAAAGAAAACTCATTTGACAATGACTTGAGTCTTGGGCCCTGCAGTTGCTTTGCAAGTTGTGTCAGCGGTCTACTACAAATGCGGCTAATGCGATGTTTTTGGCAATTTTGACAACAAATCATATAAATACCATTTAGAGAGGAAAGAATCTTTGAACTCAACTGACAGCCCAAACATCCGTTACTACCTTGCCTGACCAATTTCCTTTGAATTTTCATCAGAACGTAATGAACAAGAAATCGTTATTCGTCAATAATCCATTAAACAGTTAAATTTCATGAGAGCGAGAGTGGCTTGATTACATTTTCTTTTCAGTTGCTATGGAAGTACAAGATTAGCAGCTAGATATTTTCGACTATAAATACTCTTGTAACATTGTAAAATACAAGGTCGAAGAACGGAGGTGACGAAAACAGTCAAGTAAAAAATTAAAGTTTACCTGACTTCTGGTGGTTAATTAAAGACACTAAACGGCTAAGAATTGTTCTTTACCTGGACTCCATCAAAGAGAAAATAGGCAGACATGAAGCGAATATTCTTTGTGTATAATGACAACACTTCGCTGCACAAAAAAAAAACGATTTTCATTCAGTAAACATAACGTTAAGATGTTTAATAAACAATTAAAATGACAGACAGAGAAATGGTCTTCGTCGCAGGTGCGACTGATTTAGACTGACATGCATGAGCGAGGAATTTTGACCGGCAAGCACGAGAAGTTAGGCGAGATGCACACAAGAGCAAAACCTTTCTTTGGAAGGGAGCTCTATCTCGCGTGTCTGTTCCCTCGCACGCGTGTTTCTTTGGTGCACGCGTGTTTCTTTAGTGCGTCCTTTTTTTTGCTACGTTGACTAAGAGACCATTGCCTTAATTTTGAGATCCTTTCAATAACGAGGTAATAAAGCGGTAATCTGAGGTTCAAACGTAAATTTATCACAGCATCATAACTGATAACATTGCTAATCATAAAATTACAGTTCACTTGTCAAGTTGTTATTGGATAGTTCAATAAGCCAATCACACTCAGAATTGTAGTGTAAATCAACCAATCACAACCTGGGTCTCAATCACCATTGAAACTGTGTACAGACTCCAAAATTGAGGTTTTCTTTAATATGGAGAATTTTTTTTCTCCTTTTCATGGAAATTATAATTTTATGATGAATTAGTAATAAGATTTCGTGTCATCCAATTTTCAGTCTGTAATCATACTCGTGATAAACAAATTGGAATGTCTGATTTTGTTAGCACTCATATGATTACAGACTGCTTTGGACTCCACTCAGTCCCATCACCATTTCAAATTACCAATGAATAATGTACGAACCTGTTATCAGTAAACACTCTTCCAGTCATGTCTTGCAGTCCAAAGAAAATAGCAAACACAACAAGATCTATACAGACTGTAGGTAAAAGAGTTTTATCTTCAACTGAGAGTCGAAATCAATCCGTCTTTATTTCAAGAAATAATGGCTATAGGTGACCGCAAATGTTGGTGAATTTATATTGTATTGGTATCTATGATTCCACTACGAGTTTAAGGTACTTTTCTAATAATTTTCTACAAGTTTTTACCGATAAGTCCAATGGCCACTTTCGCCGTCCTTTTTGCCGCAGCTGGGTCGCCAGCACCCAAAGCATTTCCAACACGGACACCAGCGGCAATGCTTATTCCAAGAGGAATCTACACATGTAAAACAATGGGGTTAAATGACTATACCACATAACTTAAGTAAGGAAAAGTCCATTAACAGAGACATGTATCATGAGAGAGTGTAGATCTAAACATTCAAGAACAATGGAAACCTGAATACATTGTCATAAATCTTAGTGCTATTAATTGATACCAACGATTTTAATCTGCATTTTATCATCATACATTTCATAAGTTTTGTTTTCTCACTCACCATAAAATGAAATGCGGCCCACTGGAAAATTACCCCATATGTGGCCAGTTGGTACTCACCATACGACCCTTTCAAGGTAAAATAACAGAAACTATCGTATTACTTATCACCACATGGTTATTAAAATAAAATTAATTTATATCATAAAAAGTAAGTACTGGACAAATTTCTAATTGAGCGTCAACAATAATCCTTGACTTTTAGATGTTAGTTTTATTTTACTTCACTCTGTGATCAGATGCTTTGAGTTCTTGTCAGGTTGTTGTGTTATTTTCCTTTTCTCTAGAAAGCCTTAGTTCAGCTAAGATTTGTTTTAATGATATTAAATCAAAATTTGAAGGAGTAATAATGGTTTTGTTAAAGGCTATACCAATTGAAACAAAGCAAATTGTGGAAAAACATCTGTTGTCTTTTAGATAAGAATTAGTGTAACAAGCAGACACAGGAGTGTAGGGTGTATCTGCTGAATTCAAACTTATTTCAAGTTAACATGAGAGGAGAACTTTACTTCCTTGGGCAAGAATTCACTTAGCACAGGGTGTCCACTAACAAAATAGCATCTGCTCGGCACAGGTTTTGCTTGTTGTCAATTTTGCTTACTCATAGGCCTCAGTCAATAATGAATTTCATAACATAAATTAAGTATGAGCCAGTACATGGAAAAAATTGCTACAAATTCGAATGCTATATATTGGACTGACTTAAAAATTGCCCGAATTCCCACTTAAGAGTCCAGGAATAACTTTCTGTTGTTTGAAACATTCATCTAAGTACCTGCAAGAAATGATCCTATTTCAAAACTCCACCACTCAATACAAATCATCACCATTCCAGCCACAGCAAGCTTGATAAACTGTCCCCAGTCTAACAGACTTTCTATGGTCCAGCCTAAAATGCAATATAATTGGACAAATTATACAAGAGAAGCTATGCTATATGGCAAATCTACAGATAATAAATACAAATAAATATCCCTGATGATGAATTTCTGGTTAAATTCTACAGTGCATGATGGTTTTGGTGACCAACAGATCAAGAAGGTTTAAGATTAATGAAAACTAGTTTCCATGTAATCCCCTCCCACACAACAATTCCCGATTGAAAGCTCCTCTAAAAGTTGGCCTCTACTTATTTTTACTCCTTGGTGTAGAAAGGCACATTGAGAGTAAAGTTTCTCTTGCCAGGAACATAATGCAATGGCTCTGCCAGTCCTCTAACTTCTCTACCTACAGCCCATTGCGCTAACCTTGGGGCAATCCCATCTCCATCCTTTCCCCCTAACCAACTGTTATTTGTATTCCAGAAAAGGAGAGAGGATAATATACAAACCAAAATGATTCATGCCACCCTGTTATTCTTCCCATGTGAACAGTATAAACAGGAAAAAAATTTTTAACATATTTCTATACAAATTACAAAATTTGTCCTGCTACATGTCACAGCACCATCCTGATTACTGAAGTGGCCCTTAACGTGTGTATCCAAACTGACTCAAACAGTCAAGCTGTTAATTTAATTTTTCTGTCTACCAGTGAGTTAACAAAGCAGGGGTGTGCTGTCAATATTAATGATGTAGGTCTGTTTTGAGTACCTGGCCATGTTTTTGCATCCAACTTCATAACCTTCATATAAACAAAGGTCGACAAAAATAGAATCACATTGGTAAAAGACCAGCTGATGGCAATCCCACTAGAGAGACAAAACTAATTTAGTAATATTGAATATCATCAAAAGTCCCACACATTCAAGTGTTACAAAGTTAATAAACCCCACAAACAGTCAAGGGAAATGAAAAAAGTTTAAAGTATGGTGTGAATTTAAGCCTGAAAAGTGTTCTTCAAAGAAAATGGCTCTATGTCCACTTTAGCATGAAGTTAAATTCAAATTAACCCTTTAACTGCTAAGATCTGATTGTTAATTCTTCCCTCAAGCTGCAACTCATTTGTATGTAAATTAGCCATAGATCTTGTTTGCTTTTTTATTTTTATATATTCAAGACTTTATCCAAAGGAGTACAAGTTCTATGCCAATCATATGTTTGTTTCTACAGCTGTACCTAATTTTAGTGCAAATTTCCCTATTTTAGCAGGTTCACATTAGCATTTTGGCTGGGTAATTATTAAAGCTACTGTTTAATTACCTGCACTGTCAAAATGAGAGATGCACCAACTGATTAACTGACCAAATGCATGCAAAACAATTTAGGAGACACTTACCTGAAACCCCATTTAAGGACATATACCATCAATGCACTTACACCAATCTGAATAGCATTGGAGACAGCACCAACATAAAGAATTGGTTTCACAACACCCTGCAAAGAAGATTAATAAAATATATTTAACAAATAAAGATCATAATGAATCCACCTGTCAACAAGCAACATTACAGTGCATTGAAATGGCTTACTGAGAGACAGAAAGAAAGCCAGACAGAGAGATTGAGTCAATCATAAACTACAGGTTTCACCATTGCACAATAACACAATTTAAGGTATTGTTTCTTTGATGTGAAATATACATGCATCATCCATTGCCTTTCAAATAAGAAATAAAAAGGTAGATATATCAAATGTATATTTTCAAATTGCAGTGTTTTTGAAAATGGGTGTATGTATATGACTTCTGTATGAATGTTTACATACATGTACATGTGTTAATTTTTAAACTGCATACATGTATTTACTTTTTAAAACATTTCATATATAGGTGCAGCATAGTATGAAGTGTGTGCAAAATAGTTAAACAAATTATACCTGGGTCTGAAGATATCTTTGTAATAGAAAGAACATGAAGATAGCCTGTGGAAACCAAGAACATTCATTTGTACTTAATGAGATTTCTGATCTACTAGGATGATATTTGAGCAATACTGTGAGTAATATTGATGTATTTTTCTATGGTAACTATGAATCAATCTTAAATAGCCCAGGTAGGAGTTAAAATAGAGACTAGGGAAGTAGTACAGGAAAAAATCCTCCATGGTCTCCTCCCTACAACAAAGTCCGCTTTACCTGTATGGATCCAAGATCATGGTAGCTACAAACTTTAATATGAAATAATAATTTATGGAAAAAAAAATTGAGTTACTTACTATTGAAGCAGGAATGCATGTAAGGGTAAACTCCTGTGTTAGGCTATGGGAAAAATAAAACAATTAGGTACAAGATATCACAATTGGTAATATCGGGGCACAGCATCCAATTTCTGCATTGTGTTTTAGTTTACATCTAGCATTAGGTCACACTAGCCTGCTCTCCCAGCTTCTGAACCTCAGAATCTTATATGCTGATCAATTTGAAGCTTTAACATCCCCCAGTCAACCCACAGGGATTTGACCATCATCCATGCCCAGGGGGTGAGGAATTTGAACCAAGCCAGGGTGAGGTGAGACATTTAAACTGAAAGTGTCAAGTCTTTCTGGCTTAATACAAGAAGAGGAATTAAAAGGTAAAGAGACTACGTTCATGAGCAAATGGCTTAGAAAGACAATTTCCACACAGGAGACTGATACTCACAATCAAAAAACCCAGCAGCAGCCCCCCAAACTACTGTGTTACTTT